GGGTTAAATGAAAACCCAACCACTAAACCCCCTAAAAACCTACCCCGCCCCCCCCCTACAAAAACCCCACTAAATGAAAACGGACGATTCGCGAACCCTCCATTTGCTTCAGCCTCCTGGACACACAAAAACATATTTGCAATAGTGAGATCGATTCCCTTTGAAACCAACAGGGAGAACTATGTGTATATATATATATGTATATTCTGACACGCAAATCGATTCCCTCTAAAACCAACAGGGGGAGAAAACAGGAAGTGACCAGATGGAAGTAAATCCTTCGATCCTTAGGCTCCTTCGATCCTCTTCTTTTCAGAAAATGGAAGTACCAGCAAACGGAAGCACCCATCGATCCTTCGATCCTTCGATCCTTCGATCCTATTCCTTACAACAAGTAAAACAATACATTCTTTACTCCTACAACTTGCAGTTCTGAAAATGGAAGTGACCAGGATCCATCGAGACCGGTCTCCCGCCGGGCCAAGTCCCTGGCAGCGCTCTTCGAAGTCGCGCTGCCGTGCGCGCAGGCGCTCGACCTGACGCCCGGGCCAAGAGAGCCGAAGGCTTCTTCGGGAGATCTGCGGGAGATCTTCGGGTTCTTAACAACCCCCACCCCCCCCCCCCAAAACCCGGCAAAACCCCCCCCAAAAAAAAAACGGGGATGTCCCTTTTGGTTTTCTGTTGTTGGTTGGGACCCCAAAAATGCTGCCTTTCCTTTTGCTTTCCCTTGAAACCCACCTGAAAAAGGCGACCTTTCGCGTCAAAACCACACACGCAGGGCCTTGAACTCGCGAGTCGCGTGCTTCCTCATGGCATCCTCAGCCTGCTCAAGTGGACAAACGGTCTTTCGAGGATCGCTGCAGCCGAAAAAGCCAAGTCTTGTTTGTAAGGAGGGCTATGTTGGCAGCTGTTGACACTGGATGAATAAACCTTGTTTATTCATATTGGGGTGGGGGCCACTCCAAAAGTGTTGACCCCCACTAAAACTGGGACCCAGAATGAATGAATAGGGGGCTATTCATCCTGGGTCAGCTTATAGAAACATGATTGTAAGCAGGGTGGGAGAAGCTGAGCGGACGGCGCTACAGGGCTCATAGCAAACTCATTCAGGAAGAACATCATTGCCGGCCAGGAAGAAACTTTGGCGAGATGTCCGTTCATGCCAAACAGGTCTTGCGTCCATTGTGACTCACAGCATCACATGTTGCTTTGCATGTCTCTGGAGTTGTCCTTATTACTACGCCAGCAACAGCCCCATCATTGGAACAGAGGTCCCTTGGTTTCAACTTTGACCCTCAAAAGTGGGACTTTCAAGGCCCGGAGGTGTCCGAAACCGCAAAACTGAGAACCGAATGCAGGGCAGATGGCAAGGACCACGTTCTACGTGTCAGCTTGAAAGCGTTCCGGGCGTTCCGTGAGGCTCCCCAGATTCAGGACCTTCATGGCGAAATCGCTCCTTTTATCATGGGTGTGTGTTTTGGTGGGCCTCGGTACCCTTTGCAGCTTGGCATAAAGGAAAAGCGAAAGCCATTTGTTGCGATCCACCTACCGTTTGTCAAAATAGGGAGGCGGCCCCCCAAACCGGATTTTGGTTTCCGGCATCCGCTTAAACACTTCAAACACCACTCCCAAATCTAAATGAGCTGCGCCCAAAGCCCATTGGCTTTCCGTCCTACTGACATGGTCATAAAAAGCTATACTGGCGATGCTGCAACCCATATGGAAGGTAGTAAAACCAGCTGTTACAGCGGCCAAAGGCGATGTTGAGCACTCACTCAAATGGAACCCTGATCCGGCGCTCGCTCCGATTTTGCCATCTCTCGTCGACGCGGATGAGCACCGCCATGGAGCGAGTGCAGAGGCGAAGGAAGCTTTGGCCCTGCTCCTCGAGGCCCCGAAACAAAAATTACTCCTCCCAAATTGACAGGGATCCTTACATTATACACCTGAACATTGCCTTGTAAATGGTGGTTTCCCTTTATTTTAGTGGAAAAAACCATGATTCAAATGGGCAAAATGTATCTTTTAAGGAGCCCGGCCAAAAGAAAGGTGATTCCCCCAAAAAGTGGGGCTCCTCCAAACATATGGCGCTGCCCCAAAAAGCGCCTCACAAACAAGAAAAGTATACAATTTCCTCGGATTCATGTGGGGCAGGCTTCCCCAAAAAGTGATAAGGATTCCGGACACACACGCACACAAACACACACACACACACACACACACACACACACACACACACACACACACACACACACACACACACCGATTTCAAAGTCAAGCAGGGGTCTGAGTCCTGGGTGCGCACTAGCTGTTTCGGGGCCTGATTTGTCTAGTTCTTGTGGGGAATTTGGGGCCCATCCTCCGCCTGCCCTTATCGTCCCGCTGCCAATGAGAGAGGTTCAAGAGGCTATTGGTGAATCAACAACTGCAAATTCAGAAGAACTCATCTGGCGACTCGAACGCTCGGTTGTCCCCGGAAGCTTTGCAAGGTCTCTCCGATTGCAGTCATCCTCTTTCTAGCAAGAGAGTGTGTACAGGACGTTTGTCTTCCAAAACCCTCAGATTGTCAGTTTCCATGATTGTTGGAGGGAGGTTACCACGGGCAACCAAAGCATGATTTGGCGGGGTGGAATGGACAAATCCTGCCTGAATCCCCCCGGCTCCTCGAGAAAAAGGTCCAAGGCCGCCAATGCTCCGGTCAGGAACGGTGTGGCGGTAACGTCCTGGCTAGGTTAGGGTGTAGGGTTGGAGGGGCGTGCTTCTGGTTCAGGGTGAGGTTTGGTTTCGAGGAGTGCGTTTGGCAAAGGCTAACCCCCTCCTCACATCCCCACCCGCTCCCTCCCTCCCCGTCCTCTAACAGCACGACACCTCCAGGCACCAGCAACGGCTTCACCTTCCGCAGCGCGCTGAGCGTGGCCTCGAAGGTGTCCACATCGATCAAACACAGCGCCACCCCTTCCGCCGCCGGCAGGTCGTCCGTCAAGACGTTGGCCTACGATCCATTCGAAGGCACGCCAAACTGAACCATGCCCCAAAGGAGGGTTCCAGGATTTCGGCAAGTTCGTAGACATGGGAGGGTACTGGAAACCAATCAGAGCGAAGCTCTGAGCCACTGACAGTTATTGGCAGTGTACCAGCACAGTTATTGGAAGGACGTGGCGGGGGAACACCCCACATTTCTCACAAACGCAGGGCAATTTTCCGACGTCCCTCTAGGAAAACTAGGAAAGGGAAACCTTGACTTTGATGGGGCGAGAGTTCGGAACCCCCTTCACCTTAGAAGAAAGATCACAATACGAATCTGAATCCCTCGGCCGGCCTAAGGATTTCGCCGCAACTCTGAACTCCACACATTATCCGACCATCATCTCATGATAGCTGCCAATTGGCCTGGTGGTTTACCAGGTGCTTCAGGCTGGCCCGGTGGAAGAGAACCATGTGCCAATGGGCACATCTCCAACCAAAACACCACCCTGGCTCATAGGCAGGATGTATCCACGGGCATGCGGGTCCAAGAAGGCGAGGCCGCCAGAACCTAACCTTTCTACAGGTGAGTTGCGCATGTTCGAGCAACAGCAGAGTAGAGGTCCAACCAACTGGGTCTGCGCTTTTTGGAGGATTTTTACGGGTACCCTATTCCAGCTGGTTTGAAGGGACACTCAAAGGACAACCACCAATTTGACCAATTTGGGGTCGTATCCTTTGACACATCCGCAAATAGAATTCAAGAGAAGGCGATTCGCCAGTGTCCCTCCTCTTTCCACCCTATGAATTGAAAAGCCCCTTTGTGGGGTTAAACAAATAGCGTGTTCCTCTAAAGGCACCCTGGTAAAGGCTGGTGAATGCTGGTAAAGGCCGTGCAGCAAAACGGGGAAACGAATGTTGACAACCTAAATCTGAAATAGGCATTGGATCCCCGAAAGGACATGGCTAAATCGCTCGTATCGGATCGGCGGAACCGCTCGAAACACATGGTAGGCCGGCACATCCCACAAACTTTGTACAGGCTTCCCTACACGTCCAGCCTACCAAGGTCAATAAGGAAAACTCATACGAATTAGACAAAAAGGTGATGTTTATTGCCTTGTGGTCGCTCTTCTTGTGGTTCTTAGTTGAGACCATGTGGCCACGCGAAAACGACGTGGCCATGGGGTTCAATTTCCCTGCGCGAGAGCCAAGGCATGCTCCAAAGTCTCAGAATCATTTGTGCCCTTGTCCCCCCACTGCCCCTAGCTCTGGGTTCCTCGACGTGAACTGCTTGAGTTCTGAACTCCCAACGTTACTTTTCGGTCCCGGTTTCCCTTTGCACCACAAGGGCAACTTGCAGGGTCTCTATGGACCCTCAAACCAACAAGGGTCTAGGCCGAGATTCGACATGGCGAGTGCCCGAATGTCTGCCGTATGGTTCTTGTTGGGGTATGGAATCCCGGCATTTCCCCAAGCAACATCGAATGGTTCATTTGTTTCTGTGCGGTGATGCACACAATGGGTGTGCATGTTGGCTCGAAGTTCAAAGGGAAACCATAAACCGGAAGCCAATCATGAAATCCCCCTATTTTCACACATACCCATCGAAAAGTGCCAACCTCCTGAAAGTTGCTCCCACCCTTCGGCGTTGTTTGGCCTTCTGGCGCGCGCTGGAAACCGCGCTCGGTCCCGCCTGGAAGAGGCTGAAGGGCACCTCCATGGGACTCAGCAGGTCCCGCAGATACATCATGTGCTCCGCCGGGCTCCCAAAGGCCTCCCGGCGATTCGCTTTCCGCTCTCCGCGAATCCGCGAATCCGGCAGCTCCGCGACGCGCGGTGTTCGACTCGCGAGGCCGCGGCTCCGAATCCAAGCGCCGAGAATTTGGGCAGTGCCCAGAGAATCGCCTTTCCCTTTGTGTCCTTTAGCTAGTTTTCCTGGAACCCAACCGGAAGGGATTCAATTTGGTTCTTGGGCGATGTGTAAGGGGGAGAGAGTTTTTCCGGCAGGTGCCGACCCAAGTGTGGGGTCGACCCTTTTGGCGCGGTTGGGGAACACTCTGAACAACACTTAAGGTGGAATCCATTCGGCATCCAGCTCACTCTCGCAAAGCACCAATCTTGCAATGTCAACAAAGCACTTCCGTCTGAACCCGCAGGCTTTGCAGCAGAAAAGCAAATGCTGGCCCGTATTCGCCACTTCGGGGCTCGTCGGAAACCTGGGGTTGAATTCGGGGGGTTCCTCTGCAAATCCATGGCAGGCCATGGAAACCAAAAGGAAACCGGTGTCGGTGAAATTCCCTGCATGGACCCCAAACGGCAAGAACTTAGTCTGCCAAGAAGCACCCCGCGCCTCAGAAAAATGCCAGGATAGACCCCAACTAGCCAGAAACGAGTCTAACTAGCTGTCCAAAACAGACCCCAATACGCTTCTTTCTTTCTGGGATATGGGGCGTGTCCTTTTGGAATCCAAAGGAAACCGACCATGAGGGATACCCCATTTTGAGACACATCCACATACCCCTGACGTGCCTCGTGGGTGCCATGCCAGCCCATGTCCAAGCTTGCAGCCGCCTGCGAAAAGGATTCGGCCCTCTCTCAAGAACTTGGGCCGTTTCAGGGAACCCTCAGTTGGTGGTTTGGATTCGCGGTTTGGATTCGGATTTGAACCCCGGGCTCTTGTAGAGGATTATCCGAAACCAAACCGCCAATCCAAACCACCAATTGGTGAGAAGCTGACCATTTGCGCAAACCTCCGTCATTGTTCTGCCAAACGGTTGAAAACACATTTTGCGACCAATCCTACTTTCTCCCGAGTCGCAGGAACTCGTTTCAGTGGAAAGCAAACGCTCCCGCTTTTCCTGGCGCTGATTAAGGGAACGAACAAAATACGACAGACTTGAGTTACCATTCGTTGGACCACCCTTTTATGGTTTGAAAGGGAAGGTCCGGACCCACCATACCGGATTGTAAAAACCCAAAACGTCAAACCCCAACAGGAGGCAAAAAGAAAACAACACGGCCCGGGTGGTCCTTCCTTGAAATCTCAAGCGCTGCTTTCTGCGCCTGCGGCGACGAGAAGCCCTCGAAGGTGTCCACCAGCAGCGCGGGGCGCTGCAGCGAAGGCCAGGCGCGGCGCAGGTACTGCAAGACCACGAAGGCGGAGGAGCCCTGAAAATCGATCGACATCGCCGATGGCATGCTGGTGCGATATGAGAAATGGAATGAACCCAGGCTTTGTCCCCTGAAAGGAAACCACCAGTTGGATGGTTAAAAGGGGGTCATTCCCCACATTCTCTACTGAGCATTAGATTTAAAGGTTTGGCTTCTTTGCGTTGTTGTTGTTTCGGGGGGGTGGAAGAGCTCGCGTCACGTCATGTCCTGCTTTTCCTTGAGGGGAAGCAACCTTTGATTTGAGCAGCTTGTTGCGGTTGCTTTTCGTTGATTTTGTGGGGCCCTGACGCGTGCTTTGGGCTGCGGTCGATTGGTTGCTGTCTTTGGTGGTCGTTGTTGATGATATCTTTGTTGCTTGCGTGTTTGCTGTTTGTTTCTTGTTGGTTTGTTTTTACTTGTTCGTTTGTTTGTTGCCTTGGCTTGGTTTGGTTTGGTTTGGATTTCCTTTGGGGGGGAGTTAAGTCCCTATGTCCTTCCATGTTGACACCGCATCAATTGGGAAGATGTGGATGCGGAGTCCAGGCCGCCGCAAAGATGGAAAGACTCGTGAGACCTCCGCGCGGGCGCTGGACAGGGCGCTGGACAGGGCTCGTGCCCGAGTCATTTGGGAGTGGCTCAAAATTCAAGACCTAGGGATATGCAAGTTTTAGGCTTTGGTACCATTTACCAAGGTGTTTTTGTTTGTATATTTTTTTGAGCCACAGCCATTTCTCCTTAAGACATCACCCCGGACTAAAGGTCACTCACCTTTCATGGGCAAAAGGTGATGCTTGAAGTAAACAATGCTTGGGAGCCCTGCTGGATGGGTGATCTTTAAACTCACCGCGGTCCTTTTTAGACTACACCCATGGTGTGAAGGTAGCCTCTGCACCAAAACGGGACAATTCTGGGAACTTGTAAGTTCCGTAGACGGCCGACATTCCGAGCCGGGTCGTCCAAGCGCCACTTTGAGCCGGCCGCCCCAACTCTAAAGCAGCTGAAAATTATTGGCACCACTTGGGCGTCGACAGGCGGGAAGACTGAAGCTTTGAGGAATAGGCTATCTATCCCAGTATTCCTGGGATTATATCCATTCCAACTGTTCCATCGTGGGATTCAGCAAGTGGATCGCAAGCATGCTTGCCGAAAGTTGCATCAGGCCCAACAACGCAGGTGGTGCAGGATTTGACAGGCGCAGCTATCGTAAAAGTTCAGGGCCAAAGGGAATGCACAGATCCGAGCGTACACATATTATTTGTACATACATATATATACTTGTACGTACGTACGTACGTACGTACGTGCGTACATATGTATGTATGCATGTATGTATGCATGTATGTGTGTCTGTGTGTGTGTATGTATGTATGTACGTACGTACGTAGGTAAGGTAAGGCAAGGCAAGGCAAGGCAAGGCAAGGCAAGGCAAGGCAAGGCAAGGCAAGGCAAGGCAAGGCAAGGCAAGGCAAGGCAAGGCAAGGCAAGGCAAGGCAAGGTAAGGTAAGGTAAGGTAAGGTAGGTAGGTAGGTATGTGTGCTTCTATGTATGAATGTATGTGTGTTTCTATGTATGAAAGCATGCATGTATGCATGCCTGCAGTCCCCCCCCCCCCGGTGGACTGCCTTTTCTGCAACTGAAGGGCGAAAACATATTTGGAAAGGACTCCTACTTCAAGTCTAAAACATTCAAACTCATTTCTGGTGTCCTTCTTAAATTATATTTACGTTCTAATCAAGCATTAGTTAAAGTTCTATTTGGAAAAGAACTCACCCACATTCAAATTCTATTGAAGTAACAATTGTAGTTGATGTCCCCCCTTACTAAATTATAGATATGAAAAGGATGTCTGACGTAAATTCTAACTGAAGATATGATTTCTAGTTGAATTATCCTAGTTGAGATATCCCCTTATTTAAATTCTAAGTGCAATCTAGCTAGCAAATTAAATTTGAAGTCATGCTGGGAAAGGAATCCCTTTCTCAACTCTGATTCAAAATCGAAACCCCAATTCAATTCTTGTATGAATCAAGTGGAGTGGCATGGAGTGGCATTCGTAAGCAGCTCAGCACCCTCATCAACCAGCCGGAGCAACCAAACACTCCCATCGAGTGGGAGTGTCCACCCCACATGCAGTACACTTTTTCTTCGAGTTCGAGGTGGAAGTGCTGAACACAGGCCACCAATGACTGCTGTGCGAGAATGGTCAAATGCGAGTTGTAAGTGTTGACGGGAAGGAGGACACCCCCACCCCTCTGTGGAGCGGGTCTGCTTCATGTTCCTAATCTGTCCTTGTATGTTCCTCATGTGTCCTTTGTTAGGTCCTTATACTTCCTTTTGTGTTCCTTGTATTTGCCTCGTTGGGCAGTTGTTTGCTTTGCCTCGTTGGGCAGCTGCTTGTTTTGCCTCGTTGGGCAGTTGTTGTTTTGTTTGTCGTTCTTTTTTGTGGGGTTCCATGCTCAGCTGGGAAAGGATCGTTGATTCCCTCTTTGGGTCTGCACACGACCTGGTGGTGGCCCGTGCAAAATCAGGGAGCCACCAGGGGTCCTTGTATTCCCCGTGTTGGGTGGGTCAAACATCACCCATCGAACATGCCATTTGGGTATGACCTGTGCTTTGTGGTGTCGAAGGAAAACGGGAAGGAACACCACTTCAATTGTCTTGTGTCTTTCATGTGTTTCTTTCTTGTTCTTTTTTTGGGGGGGGTCTCCTGCAAAAAGGCACGGCCACAAGTTTGTGGTGGCCTGTTTACAAGGGACATGCAAGGAACCGTGCCAGTTCCAACAACCCGAAAAGTGGCACAAGGGAGCCATGTCCTGTTTGGTGCTGGTGGGAAATCCAAAACGATTTAGAGGATGCCACTTCGAGGTAAGACAAAGCTTGCCCAAAAACCAACATGGAACCGGAAAGAGGGTCCGAGGGTAATGGTCTGCTGAAAGGTCTCTTTCAAAATCCATGCCTTGTTGGCAGGGGCAACTTGTCGTACCAAGCATTTAGGGTTGACCCATTTGGGGGTGACCCACCTAGGGTTGACCCATTTTTAGTGGCATTCGGCCACTCGGCTCCCTTCAACCTCTGAAATTCGATTTCCAAAACAATCCAACCAACAGACGTATGTTGTCTCTAAACTAGAGGGGCGCGACTCAACCCTGAGTTTCCTCTTAAACCCCAAACAGGGCATCCTCAAAGAACAGACACCCACATAATTTGGTTCCTTCTGTCCCTTCAAAAGCCAAAGTTTCAAAGGGGTGCCCGCCGAAACTAGGTTCTGACCACCTCCCGGCCTTCCCGACCTCAGTTTAGTCGCTGAGTGGAGTCCGCCCCCCGCCTTGTAAACACCCAGCTCCAAGTAGATGCCCGGCAACTGCCGTGTCATCTCCAGCGCTTCGCACAGGCTCTCCTCGAGCACAAAAGCCAAGGCGTTTATTGATCTTTCGCTTCTTCTCATGTCCACTCAAAAAATCCCACCTGAAAAATGGGAGAGGAAAAAAAGAAACACAAAACAAGCGAACCCGAAGCGCCGGCTCTCGTTGAGCGAGGCTCTGCCACGTTGATGCTGAAGTGGGGCAGCTTGCCCTCGTGAAAGGCGTCCATCGCCGCTTGCACCTCGGCGAATCCCGGATTTTGATCGGGCGATCGGGCCCCGTTGAGTGATCTGGATCACTTGGGGGGCACCTCCGCCCGTCCCCCCCGAAAAAAGGACAGATTTACGAATCCGGTGGGGAGATTGGCGAGTTGGGAAATCCAATGAGTCCCTTTACAAAAAACTAGAGGATGATTGAGTTTGGAAAGGCGGATTGAGACACCCTCACACGAAAATATGACCCAGGCGTCGAGGGATTGGCGGGAAAACGATTGCAGCGGACCGGCTCACGAGGTGCGACGGAAGTTGTTGGAAGTCTTGATTGGACCCCCGCCAAAGGGATCACGTTGTGCTGGTTGGAGAAAAACCAACAAGCGGCCGAAAAGCTGAATTTGTTGTTCCCCAAGAGATTCCCTTGGATGTATGGATGTGGCTTAACATTGCAAAGCAATAGGGCTGCGCAGGTAGTCTGTTGCGTTTGTGGGTTTTAAAGGAAAACCAGATGGAAAACTGTTGCGCCATTTTGTGGGGTCCGGTAAAACACGGACGCCCCCATGTTGTTGAGCCACACGTGGAACTTCGCGGGGCGGTCGAGACCGGCCGCTCTCAACTGGTTCCACGGCGCCGTCTCCGCCGCCCAGCGCTCGGTCGTCAGAAACCGTGCCCGGGCGAATGGCCCCGAGTGGGTGGCATGGCCCGTGTCCTCGCAAGAAAAAACACGGCCCACGGGTGGGTGGCTTTTTGAGGGACCTCCCAACAAATGCTCGCTTGCCTTTTTGCTTTCCTTCAAAGCCCCGCCAAAAGAGTTCCGACTTTCGTGGCGGCATGGCTCGCGTGTCACGAAGACTGGTGCGTGCAACTTGAGAAGTGGTCTTCTACAAGCGACATGGGACCAACCAGTGAAAGTGCATCCTTCTGGTAGACTCTGGGTGTTGTATTGCAAAGCCAAATGGACATCCACCAGGTGCAGATTGGGGTCCGTCCTCTTGGGAAGTCTGGGGTTGTCCTCCCAAAACCAGCAGACTACTAACAAATTGTTAATTGCGCATGTGGTCTCAGACTCTTTAGACAGGGTGGCAAGCTCGGTGCGTGCAATTTGTGCTCAAAAGTGACAAAGCACCTGGTATGGATCAACATGTTGCAAGAAACATACTCACAGCTGAAAGTGAACTTCCCTTGTGCATCATGGTCCTCAATATCCAAAAACCCTTTGAACCCTGTACATCCGCGGCTGTGAATCCGTCGGTTTCGTTTCTACCCATCCGTCCTCTGCAAGGGAGCTCGCCCAGCGCTGGTCGATTTTGAAGCCCCGCGCGAGGACCCTCGGAGAAAACTCCCTCGAGAAGCTCGGGTTCCCCTGATTAAGGGCCAGCCAGGTATGACAAAAACACACGTCCAGTGGATGGACGAATCTGCAAGGGAGATATTGGGATGGAATATCAACCGGTATGAAAAGGGCTTCATCAATACCAATTGGTGTGAAATGGATATCGCTCATCCTTTAAAAGCCCGTTGACAAGACCCAGGAAAATGTGTTGCACCATTCTCATCAGGGCTTACCTCAACGACTCAAAAATGCGAATGCCCACACCTACTTATGGTCGGAACTGCTCTCCCGAGCCCTCTCTTCGCCGGATTTTGAGGACTCCACCCCAATGCTATTCAATTTCCTCAACCGACGCCAACCCTAAGCCCACCCCAAGCGCACCCCACACCCCTGAAGCCCCTCACCCAATGCGAGCCACTTCCGGGCAGACCAGGAGAGGTCGGAGTCATAGCGCCAGGCCAGCATGTAGCAGTGATTGGGATGCTCAAAGTGCAGGTCCAGAGCCTGGACCATTGGTGCAGACACTTGCCAAGGTGAAAAGGGTACCCCAGAAACCACACCCATGTGCAAGTGTGCCTTTTAAGGGTATCGGCTGGGAAAGCATGCAAAATGATTCTGGGAGGTGTCCGCGTTTGACACATGCCCACGTGACCCACGGACAAGTTCTCCGTTCCCCCAGCCAAAACATGTACCCTCCTCAGGTGAGGCACCAAACTGGGACCCCTGCTCCCATGTCCTGCCAAACCCGGAGTAGACCACTAATAATGTTGCCGGGGAAAGAAAACTAAAACTTGCGGTCCCCTACATGGTTCTTAGACTTTGGGCCTCACCCGTATGGTTGGTTTTGAGTGGGGAACCCGGAACAAAAGGCTGGTTGACACCCACTCCCATGGTAAATGATGTCCACTAAAGGCCCGTCGTTGCAATTCACAGCGCCAGGCGAAAGTATCACAGCGCAGACGGACAACGTGTCTGCACGAAAGTCTGCGCCGTCTGCACCCCCGGTCTGTTAGGGATTGAGACCGGGGTTGGTTGTGGCTTTGGGGTGGGGTAGGTTAAGGGGGGCAGGTTTGGGTTTATGGGTTCAGGTTGGTTTTGGTTGGTGTGGGTGGCTTAGGGCGGTTTGTTGTGGGTTCCGGGTTAGTTGCAGCTGGGCTTGTGGGGTTGGTTTGGGCAAGGTGCAGATGGAGTTTGGGCTGGCTGGTTTGAGAGAAAGGCGGCCTTGCGGTGGGCTGGTAAGTTCAAGGTGTGTTTAAGGATAGGTTTAGGCTCATTATTTCTACGTGACGCCGGGGGTGCAGGGTAGGTGGGTTTGGGGTTGAAGGGCGCTTGCCGGCTGACTGGCTGGCTGGCTGGCTTCCTGAGCTTGCTTGCTTCGCTTTCAGGGAGGGTTCAACAAGCCGAAGTCGAAGTTGAAGTCGAAGCAACCAGTGACCTTTGACACGAGTAACAGTCACCCAAAAGGACACCAGGGATGGAGCAACAAAGAAGAAACCCAGACAGGGAGAGACAAAGGCCAAAAGAGAGGAAAGAAGAAAGGGAAGAAGGAGAGAAGGAGGGGGGGGTGAGAAAGACCAGAAACAAAAAGACTCGGGCACGAGCGGGGGGAAAGAGCAAGCAAGCGAAGCAAACACGCCCTTTCGTGGCTCAATGCGGAAAGCAAGGGTAAACGCGGAAAAAGGGATAGCATAAAAGGCCGCATGCTCAGGGCACACAGGGAGAAAAACCGGCAAAACAAACTCACCGGCGATCCCTGCGCCAACCATCCGAGCCCCCACGATCCCCTCCTTTAGAGGATTCCAAGACCGGCTCGGGGCTGACCCGCTGTCCTGACCGCGTTTGCGGTTCCGCTTCTTCATCTCAGTAGAGGTCATCCAGCAGGTACAGCCGGGGGGGGTCTTCGCGGCGCGAAGCACAGGGGCCATGTGCGACTTAACGAGCATCCTCCAGGAAGTCCGTGCCGGAACCGGACATCAACCAGAGTTTTTGACCCCCACCTTCCGCCCACAGGGAAGATCCCGACAATGAGGCCGGAGTGGGACGAACATGCGAGGAACTCCGACTTCCAATCCGCAACCGTGCTGGCATCGACGGCGATTTTGTCAAGCCACTTTGACATCATAGTCTGAGATGTGCGACCAAAGCCGTTCGCAAGGTGCGGCGCCAGAATGTCTGACAGGCTCGCCCTGCGCGTGCGCCCAGAAGCAAATCCGGGACAAAGGGTCAGGGTCGCCTAAGAATGGCAAACGCTGGTGAACGTGCGCGAACGCAGTGTGGTTATCAGAGAAGGCGGCGCGACATTTGAAGTCTGCGCGCCGGACCTAATAATGGAGTCGCCCTGGGACTAACAGCCGCGGAGATGATGGTGTTCGTTCTAGGGTAGCACAACTGCAAGCTCAAACCCAAGAGTTGCGCCCAGAGCGGAGACTGAAGGCGTTGTAGGCGCAAGACCTGCGTGGCGGTGACTAGACTAGACTAGTCTACTGCTGGCTTGAGGAGATTGCGGCAAACGACGCCGCAGAGGAAGAAGAGTTCCTGATGAGCAAAGAAGGGCATCTTCAGGACCGTGTAGGAGATCAAAGCGATCATTCGCAAGCACGGCACAAGGGGCGGAAGATTGCCAAGCTTGCCACGTGCTATGATAGCTTCTTTTTTTTTACACATCAACTGGCCGGATCTCTGCGCCGCTCGCAACGGCCTGGGGTGCCCCATGTGTCAGGGCCACCCGGCTTTCTGGGACAGGGAGGCCAGTTTGCCTGTTCGGCGCGGGACACGTGCAGAACTACCGCTTGTCGGGAGCGGTAAACACTCACCGGGCACCAGGCTTCCGCCCGTTCGACATAGGCCCATGATCACAAAGCACTTGGGCTGTTGACTGCAGACGGCCGGGCAACCTGTCTGCGATTGCCTCACAGGGCCAGCAGAAGAAAACGAATGCAAAATTGCGGTGTTGAACAAAGTCTGCGAGGGAAAGGGCGACCACACTGCAGCCAACCCATCCCTTCCAGGTTGAGCATCGTACTGGCAGGGCGTCAAACTCTGTTGGGAAGCGCGCGGTCCTCATGTCGGGGATGCCCCAACATGGCTCTCCGGCTTGCAGCATGGCATATATCGCCGCCGCGCGTGTAGAATTCGGCCGCGTAGAACTGTTTGCTTGCAATGGCAGGGCCCAAGCTGTGCAAGCAAAAGGGATAGGGAGGGATCCTGTGGAAGCTGAATGATGCTGTTTGGTCCTTGGGGTCCTCGAAAATATTCACTGAATTGCACAGAACATCCTCAAGAAAAGATCGAGGCCAGGCCGTCAGCTTGCAAAAGGCTTCTGGCCAATTTTCGTTTTCGACCCACCCCCATTGAACTGGGGTCCTTATTTTGAGGGTTTCTGGGGGTCAAAGTCAGATACTGGATTTTTGTTTCCCTTCATCATTCTGACGGATTCTGGGGGTTAAAGTCAGAAGATGGGGTAGTTTCCCTTTAACCCCTAGGGGGTGACTTTGATCAATGTTAAATCATGAGGCCAGTTTAACGGCTCCCCCCTTGACCCGAGTCGACTCCTCTCCTCATCCGAGGTGACAAAGGGCCGCGCGAAGGCCGGCAGCTGAGATGGGTCCAGGCGCGCCACGTCCCCCGCCAGCACCAAGATGCAGAGACCCAGCAGCGCGGCCCTTGGCTTCGGCACGTGCCAATGGCTCACACTTCAATCGGCTCCGTTTGATGACAAGGTCCTTGTCTCATGCATGTTCATCCTCAGCGTCTCACTGTCTTCTTTTTTATGTTTGACGTGCTTTGGTGTCCCAGCACAGGAATCCGCCGAGTCGGGTTCAATCTGCGCCAGACGCTGGTTCATTTTTCAAATCCGAATCGCAAAGTCACGCGTGACACAAAGGCATTAGTGCTAGGACTCTAAGTGCTAGCACATACCTCCAGACGCAAAAAACAAGAAAACTGCATATAACGAATGACTTGTCCGTGCGCTCACTGATTGCGTTGCTTCTCTCCGCAAAGAACTGTTCTTGCAAGAAAAAACAGTACGACATGTACGTCCTATTAATCTTCCGCAACTCGATTGCCAGACGCCTTTGCCCACCACACACGCACACACACACACACACACACACACACACACACTTAGACTCCAGATGGAGGATTCAATCTTTCGAGTACAACTGATGAGGCTCGAGTACAACTGATGAGTCTCGAGTACAACTCGGATAAGTTTCGGCTGGCAGTTCACTCAGCTTCACTCTAGTTACTTGAACAGGGAAACAAGGAAGCAACAGCGGTTCAAGGGGGGACCAAAAGGACGTTCAGAACAACACCATCATCTCGGCAGGTACGTCTGGCTGATCAGGCCAGATATCAGCGCAGGTCACGACCCTCTTCGTTGGGTCACGAAACTGTGGTGACAGGGTATTCTGTCACTCCGCACACACACGCCCCTCTGCGGGGGCGAAAGTCTCTTTTTCGGGGGGAAGAAGAAGCGCCCGAAAGACGGACGAAGACCCCAAGAGAAAACAAACGGAGCAAGAACCCAAAAGGAACAGAAAGGCCCCACGTTGGGTCACCGCGGGCAAAACCCCAACCAAGAAACACGAAAAACGGGAAACCGAGTTTAGGGTCACCGCCGAGGGCAAAGAACCCCAAACAGTCCAGAAACCCTCCTAAACCTTGTAGAGAAAGAGCACCGCGAAGTTGAAGAACGACACCACGAACACGCCATCCCTAAACGGGTGAAGAGGAACAACCGGAAGTAGTAGTGAAAGGGGGGAGAAGAAAAGAAGGAGAGAGCAAGAAAGAGAGAAAGGAGGAAAAGGGCCGAGATGCGTATTTAGGGCGCCGCAGCCCGCCCGGGGGAAGGAGAAAGGAACGCAAGGGAGAGAGAAGAAGAAGAAGGAGAGAAAAGAAGACAAAGGGAGCGAGATGCGTATTTAGGGCGCCGCAGCCCGCCCGAGGAGAGGAGAAAGGAGAAAAGGAAAAGGAAGAGGGAAGTAGTATGCGTTTTTAGGGCGACGCATCCCGCCCAGACAGGAAGAGAGGATGAAGACCAAAGCTCGAGGAGGAAGACGACGAATCCCACACAGGGGCCAAGAGGACGAACACAAAATAGCAACGGAAGGGGAAGAAGACGTCAAGCCAAACTACGTGAGGAAGAAGAGGAGTAGGAACAGGAAGACGGACACGAAGACGACGACGAGGAAAAGGGTGAACAACGCGAGGACAACCAGGCCATCCCTAAGCAGGCGAACAGGAGGAGGGCGAACGCGCGGGTCACGACAGGCAGCAGGAAGAGAACGGGAGGAAGGAGAAGCCATCCCTAGGCGGGCGAAGAACCAGAAGACGGGCACGCGGAAGACGAAGGCGAGAAAAAAAAGAACGAAGGGTGAAACGTATCTATGAAGAGGTGGCTGTCTTCCCTTTAGTGAAACCTCGTTCCTGCTTAAACGTGAAATTCCGCTGGTCTATGATAAGCACGCTGAGGTCAAATTTTCCGGCGAACCGGCCCGGGGTCACACGATGGGTACACCCGAGGGTCCCCCACGAATGGGGTGTTCACACTTAGACTCCAGATGGAGGATTCAATCTTTCGAGTACAACTGATGAGGCTCGAGTACAACTGATGAGTCTCGAGTACAACTCGGATAAGTTTCGGCTGGCAGGTCACTCAGCTTCACTCTAGTTACTTGAACAGGGAAACAAGGAAGCAACAGCGGTTCAAGGGGGGACCAAAAGGACGTTCAGAACAACACCATCATCTCGGCAGGTACGTCAGGTCACGACCCTCTTCGTTGGGTCACCGGTCGTGACTGCGGGTGACCCCCCTGTGCAAGAAACTGTGGTGACAGGGTATTCTGTCACTCCGCACACACACACACACGCACTCCAAGGGTTTTTCTATTACACCCTGGGATTACTCCCTCTGGGCATTCACCCTATTCTAGCTTTCCATTGGTTGATTTCGGATTATGTTGAGTATTTTCCCTAGGGTGTACTTCCAGGGTGTAGTAAGAGAATCCGCAGACACACACACACACACACAAACACCACAGCCATCCCTGCTGCTTGAAGAATGAACGCGAGGCACACAACCCCAACAGCTTCGGCAAGGACTTGGTTGAGGCATCTGGTCGCGACATTGCATCAAGTCAAGAAGATTCACTGTCGAGCCACCCTTCGGGATACGAAGAGAAGGAGAAAGAAAAATAACTACCTGCATCTTAAAGCCTATAAAAGGGATCCATGCGTGGGAGCCTTGCAAATAGATTGACCGGCTTTTATATATAACTCTGATGGCAAGCGCAAGCAGTGGCTTGGACACCGTGGAGTTTTAACAAGATGCTTGTATGAGCCATGTCTGTCAGTATGCATGTTTGCAAAGGTCGAGGCAATTGTCGAAAACTATCCGCATAGTCTTTGTTTGCAAATGTACAAATGTGCACCACAATGGTCCTCTGTGGCATGTGATGGGATTCGAGGTTTCCACTGGCCTTGATTTGAAGACATTCTTTCTGGGAGCCTTCATGAAATAAATCGAACTTCAACTTGAGCAATCGGACGGAAAATCCACACACGCACACACACGCACACCTATCCAGGTCACCATGTCGATAAAAACTTGGAAACTGCACAACCTGCCGGCTGAAAAACATCTTGCTGCCAGGCGTCTGGATCTCATCTATGTATCCATCAATTGGCTCCACAAGGCGCGGCACCTAAGGAGCAAACGCTATGCCTGGACCCCTTCAGGGGAGCTATGAGGGGGGGGTCCCTGGATACGCCTAAGCCTTAACGGGTCAATAACGGATAGTCGAATGGCCCCCCCTCCCCATAGCCCCCTTGGGGGTCCATGGTACTGAGTGGTCTTGACTTGCATCGAATGGAGCATTCATTTGGATGAGGAATTGCAGCTTATTGATGCTCTGCATGCCTTTCGAGGCATTGTGCCGATTGTGGATTCTGGTGGAAGCCATTTGTGTAAAATTACCTGGGTGAAAGATTGGCCAGTTCGAAGAGAATGGAAACCCAAGCCCGAATCAAAACTTCTCAAGGCGGACGTCCTCTTGGTTTCCCGTCCAGACCAACCAAAAGGGGCGTCCCCACAAAAACGCACAGACACACAAAAAGCCTTGATGCCTTCACCCTCGCTCGCCTTCACCGACACACTGTCTGGCGAGATGGGACGGTCTTTCTTTAGTGACTTCTCTTTTCGGGGTTGACTTTTCAAGGGGGGCAATTGAAGGAAAAACATCAATTTTGGGAGCGTCCACTGTTTTGAGACAAATATTCACCACGTCCATTTCCAGTGACAGGAATGATTATGAGATCTCCTCTGATGAATATGCCTATGCTCCGTCAGAGCATAGTTGGTGCACGCTTGGGACTTGCCAGCCAGCAATAACTCTCATAGCTAACGGTGATAGTTGGTTTGGACTGGTGGCTTGTCAGGGCTACCCACGTTGTTGAAGCAACCCATCCTTTCCAAATGGCTTAAGGCCCTTGGCTCAACCAACCCCTGGCCTCGTTTGAAAGGAAAGAAGCTTCTTTGAGCAATTTGAAATTGAACAAAGGGTTTGCAACCAACGCTGGGCTATTAAATGTCAACATCTAGCAAATCTGCTTTGCCCAACTTCACCACATAGTTCTAAGGTGACACCCCCCAAATCATCAAGGGGGTGTCCATCGTTTTGGTCCATATTGGGTATCTCCCCAAGAAAAGGTGTTTCTTCTTGGTTGCCCTTGAAAACGACCAAACATGGGTACCCTCAAACAAAAAGCGCACCCATCTGGGTGTGTCATTTTTTAGTGGACACCCCCAAAAATTGCGTGTTTCCTCGAAAAAAACAAAACCAAATACAAAAAAACCCACCGCGTTCGGTTTGCGCGCGGCGCTTCATCTTTCAGCCCGCCTGGTCCAGCTTCTGCATGCCGGTCCAAATCTCCAGTTCGTTCAGGCGGTCCACCACAAACTTGTGCAAACCTCAGCCGGCGGGAGCGGGGGGAGGACCCTCAAACTCAACCCATTCCAGCGAGAAACAAAAGGTCGGGGACCAGACCGATGACAACACCCTGCCGGCAAAACCGTGAAAACACGAATGCCCCAATCAAGGTATCCAGTGACATCCAAAGAGGGGCCCTGTCGAGCAAGCAACATGGCGATCCAAACCTTTCTGGTTTGCGGGCGAATAGAGTTTGAAAATGTTGCCGTTCATTTGGTATCCTTGCATCTGGGTAAAGGAACTCAATGGTTCCCGCCCCAGCTGGAGTTGTGGCCAGTTCCATGACCTCTGACCGGTATGCCTGCGTGCTCGCAAGCTTGAAGCGCAAACAAGGCAAACAGGGCAAACAAGGCAAAGGAACAAACAAAGAAACCAAGAAACCAAGAAACAAAGAAACAAAGAAACAAACAAACAAGAAGCAAAGAAACAAGAAGCAAAGGGACAAAAAGACACACAAACATGGAATCTGGTGCCACTGTAAGCTGACTGTAAGCCTGCAAGTATCCAAGAACAGGGAGCAGGAATCTTGGCCCGAACAAGTCGACAAAAATGGCCAAGGGCGTCGTTTCTGACTGCGTTCCGGAAGCTGCTCTGCACACTCTCTGGTCTCAGCCGAGGGAACGGCGAACTGGCAGCCTCGGGCTGGCCCATGGCAAGTGATGCTGCGGGCGAAATCCATTCGCACCGCTTTGAAACCGTGGTTGAAACCACTGGTGTGTGGGTATAAACCCTAAACCACTGTGTTGGAAACCGTGGTTGAAACCACAGGGAAACCATCAGAAACCAGGGGTGTCTTGGGTGGTACGAAATGGATTTCGTCCATCCACTGTCACATGCCCGAACAGCTTGAAGCCAGCCAGGTCACTAACTCTGTACGTGTCCGTGTTGGCCCCACGGCCGCATCACATCTGGAGCTACGGCCGCATCCGCAAAAACGCATAGCGAAGCAACGAGACAGCTTGTCCCACTAGGTGTCAGCTGCTTCTTTCCTTGGAAGTTTTTGATTTGGAAGGGGCCCCACTTTTGACACGCTCTGCCCCCTTGAGCAGAGCCCAAAGCCCATGCACGTTTAGCGTTTATGTAGAGGTTATGTACGGACGGCAACACGTCAGAAAGAGGTTACATAGAGATGATATATAGAGGTTTGTAGCACACATGTTAACCAAAGGTCAAAAAGAGGTTGTATATGTGTTGCAAGAGGCTAGTTGCAAGAGGTGGTTCACGAAGAAGTTATATAGAGGCTTTCCAGAAGTCATGCAGAGGTTATATGGGCGAGGTACGCACGTCACAGCCTCAAAGGCGCTGTTTGGACACAGCTACGTGAGCCAAGCGCAAATGTCAACCAGCGGCAGCTTTCCCAGCTCCACACCTAGTGGTTATATAGAGGACACAGGCTATGTAGAGGTTGTCAAGGTTGTATAGAGGTCATATAGAGGTTTCTATGGAGGCTATACACTGATCATATCAGTTTATACAACCCATACTATAACTCCCAGGCTGTCACTGACAAGCAGCCGTGGGGTGCAGTGGGAAGAGAGCCTCCGCGGAAGGCCAGCGCACAGCTGCGAGGTGCCTGGGAGCTCTTCTCGCATTCCGGTCACTTGAGGTTTGGGCTCATTTGGTCATGGGTCAAAAGCCCGTACCCCCAGTGAACATCCCGATCCCCACTAAAATAGACTAAAATGGGTGGTGCACCTACCCTACCATTGGTTTTGACCCACAGCCATTTGTGTGGGCGGACTAACATAGAACCTGAAAGAGTGGAAGACAAATTTGCATGGCGCATTCATCCTGGCTCAGGCACGTTCCCTTGCCCAACTGAAGAAAAATGCGCCATCTACGTTTGCACTGGAGCGACGTTTATTTGGGGGGGAAGAGGAAAAGGGCTGGATAGAAATTCCACCGAACAAGTGTGACATAAAGGATGGCTCGGCAAGCTCATTTGACCTGGTGGGCTGGCGATATTATAGGCAAATGAAGTCACTTAACCTGTCATTAAAGTGGGCGACCCATATCCATGGAAGAAAACTCTCAGTTCGAATCGTTGAGGAAGCTCACAAAAAAGGGGATGGGTTCTCACTCGGCCCTCACCCCATCAACTTCCCCAGGCGCCAAACCGCCAATCCGGAAGCTCGCCTCGTCCCGTGCATCCGGCGGGCAAAACTCAGACGGAGCCCAAGGCGCAACTATTAGAGCAAGCCATCCGGGCAAATGACCGCAACGGCCACAGAGCCGGAAAAACGAACCCCCCGCTCCGAACGGATGTGGCTGAAATGTGGCGAATCCATCGAAATCCCTTCGTGCCCTGAGGGAAACATCGCTCGCTCCGCACCCTCCCCCCCCGAATCGGAGAGCCATGGGACTTCGCCGTCAAAGCCACCAACATCTCCAGCGACTCCGGGGTGCCTCAGCACATCCGTCGCACCAAAAGTGGGCGGGGGGGGGGGGGGGGGGGATGTCCAGAGGTCTATGTTACCCGCCCCTAGGGCCAGCACGAGAACCCAATGGCAATCAAATTGGGAAGGTATAGGATTCACTTGTGCTGCTGTTTGTTGATATTTTAAAGAGAAGCCACAAGGCAACTTGCAACCCCAACCAGTTTTGGGACCGCCTTGGCAGTCAGCAGGGAATGAGGGAATGACCCCAAGGAAAAACCATCCCAAAAGTAATTTCCCTACCGCTTGTACATGCCACTTTTACATAAGGAGCACATGAGCCCAGAAGGCTTCCTGATGTTGGGCGGATGAACAAGGGGTACTTTAACCCTTAGACGATTCGTATCAGGCTCTGAATCATTACTAATGATTTACGGCTACATTCATCACTAAACGTAAGTTCGAAGTACCCCACAACCCTATTCCATCTACTTGGGTGTGTCTTTTTTGGGGGAGCCCCAAAATGGTGGGTATCCTGTTGGCTTCCCCTTAGAGCCACAAGAAACGGCTACCCTCTAAAGGCACCCCCGAGCTTATTTAAAAGGTATCCGGTGGGAACCCGCCCGCAAGTGTTTTCACGATTTCTGCCCCTCCGGCCCGTGTTGAAGGCTTTTTCCGCAGGGTACACACCCATGCCAACATGGTAACGTTCACGTTCACAGGAACACTCGGTGGACTGAAAGGGTTCTCCAACAGGTGAACACCAATGCCAAAATAGCAGCGACGTTCACGGGAACACCCAGTAGTGTTCACTTTCGCGGGAACACTCCGTGGACTGAAAGGATTCCTCAAAGGGTAGACACCAGCGCCAACATGGAAGCGTTCACGGGAACACTCAGTAATTAGACTGAAAGGCTTCTCCAAGGGGTATGCACCAATGCCGGACATGCTAAGCACAATCTCGGAGCCATGACTGCTGCTGTGATGACGCAGCTGCTTCAAGACTTAGTTGGTCCAAGGCTGCGCAAAATCAATTTCAACAGTTGTCACAGAATACAGGGGGATACGCAGTTTACGAACTCTGCACGTCCAAAGTGTGTTGCGGGCGGATAAGCACCTGCGTTTCTAAGGGAATCCCCAAAATGGCGGGTTCCTTTTGGTTCCCCTTAAAGACACAAGAAAAGGCTACCCTCAAAAAGACACGCCCATTTAGGCCCTGAGCTTATTTGGGTGGTCGTGCGGCCCCTGACAGTTGTATGTGTCGAATAAAGCAAGAACCCCCCTCCCCCCCCTCTCCCCACTCTCGCTCCCGCTGTTCCCATCCGCAGTTCCCTCTTCCGCGCCCTCTCTTCTTCCATCTTAGCACCAGGGAGTCTCGGTTGGTTTCTTCTCCCCTGCTAAAAGTGACTAACTTTTAGTGGTTTAATGGGAAACCCAGTAGTTGGCAAAAGTTATTAAAGTCCTAACATCCAAGCAAAATGCACCAATGGAGTAGTAAGCGACTCTTCGGAAAGAAGCAACTGGCAGCACGAACGGATTGGCTCCGAGAAGGTGAAACGAGTGGCTCCTCGGCTCCAATGTCCATACCCATGTCAGCCTTGAACCGCCCACGCAGAGCTCCAACCAAAGACTCTTCTTTCTGAACAGCACTTGCGGCTTTCCATTTGCAGCGGATCTTAGGTCCTCTTGGTGGAAAACAAGATAGCATCGGGTTCCAAAAGATGAATGCTTCGTCTTGCAGATGACATCTGCAACCTCTTCCAACCAAAAAAAACTAGGCCCTCCAGTAGAGAGGTTAGAATCAGGGTACCAACTTTTTCCTGTAGTCTATTTTAGTAGGGGAACCCTCCCAAAAAAAAGAAACGGTCAACGGGCACCTAGCTGCAGCTCGTTATCTTCAGACCCACCCACATCCGGCCGAGCCAGGACTGGCTGCCGAGCCAGGCCGGCGAGTCCCGCAGCATGTAGAAGACGGTGGCCTGATTTCCGGCACATCTTTGGCTTCGAATGAGCAGCGGGAACCCCCAAAACACCCAAAACTCATGGTGCCCTTGTTAAATGTCCTATGAATTTCCGTGAAACCCCAAAACAACACCCCCATTTCTAAAGGAGTCCCTTTTTGGGTTCCATGTGAGCGCCCAAGACCCAAGAAGCAAGTGTCAAGGTGCAGGCGGAAACTGCAACCCCTCTACGCACGGCGTGTTCATCGTTTCCGTTTTTGCCGGGGCAGGGACGGTTAAGCCGCCACTCTTTGTTGCACCTAGCGTTACACAAACGATCAGGTCACCAACTTGGCTGATGGCTTGGATTGGAGGCTTGGGATCTGAACCCTTGGTCCTTGAGGTTGGGGAAACAACGGAACTGCAAATCCAAATCGATGCGAGGGAAGCTGAGAAGACATAGTGGACGGCTGCAGGACGTAAGTTGATGTGTCAGAACACATTGGCCAAAGCTGCGAACCGCATTCGTTTATGCGGACGTCCTAACTGTTTAGCTTTGGGTCAAGTGCGGCAACATCAATTGCTTGGACCCGACCAAACACATCTGGCTATGAGTTTTGATGCAAAAAACACCCTCCGAAGTGGGGTGGTGGACAAAAATCCAACCAAGTAAATAAATTATGTCCGCCAAAGGGTCTCCGAGTAGATATCCGCTCAAAATGGTTGGTGGAGAAATATCCAACAAAATACGTTGTGTCCACCTGAGTTTCCAAGCATTCTGCCAAAATGGTTCGACGACATAAATCCAGACAAGTAAACGATGTCCACCAAAGGGTCCCGCCAATTCAAAGTCATACCCATCTGGCCTTGTCTTTAAACGAGTGTCTTTCTTGTGGGTACCCCCTTAAGTTGGTTTTAAAGGGAAACCGCAAGGGGGCGAGGGGTCCGTGAAAAAGTACACGCCAAATGCGGGAACCACTGAAGTGCCGTGGTTTTCCCGAAATCTGCCGGCAAGAAGCCGTGGTGTTCATCAACTCTTGCGCACCGTCGGCTGCTCCCTTGAGGACGTGCCTAACACGAAGAAGGCGCTCGGGGAAATACTTCAACAGGCACTCCCACCCCTACCCTCAGTACTTTCATAAAAACTAAATACTTTGAAGGATAGGAGCTTCCAGGGGGTCAAAACTCCGAATCTGGGCCGTGGTGGTCCTCGCAGAATCCTCGCAGAACTGAATTCGCTGACAAAAATGGGTCCATGACCCCCAACCGCGAGGAAGCAGGCCTATTGAAACCAAGGCACATGCGTCGCGACACTTGCCATTTGAAGTTGGAACCAAAAACTGATCTTCCACAAGAATGGCGAGCTGCGGGTTTCTTACAAACCCCCAAAACCACCGGCATTGCAAGGGATCCTCCAAATCAGCTGGTGAGGGTGATTCTTTGACTGACCAATAATTTCGGCGGGGATTTTGTCCACTAACCACGTAGGAGGGAGTTCCCCAAAAAATATCACTGCCATATCAAGTTCTATGGTTCATTTGGAGTGACATGGGGGGGGGGGGGGGAAGTTCCTGATCTCCCACAAAAACAACCGAGTGTCTCCTGCTCTTGCCTCAACTGCGGGATTACGCAAATCCCACAGTAAAGAATCAAAAGGGCTTCTTAATAGACGCACCTAAGGACCTATTTGGGTGAGTCTTTTGTTCGGGTCCCCCCAAAAATTGTGGTTTTCCTTTGGGTTTCCCGTTGAAACCAACCAAAAAAGGAGTTACGCTTGGTTGGGATTCCCCCGAACTGACCCCAATCGGTTTGGGTGAGGAAATAGCTTACATGGGTACGTCAAAAATAGGGTGCCTCCAGAGTAGTTTTCGGTCTTGCCGCCTTCTCTTTAAACCTACAAGAATTTGGTTGCTGTGTCTCAACATGGAATCGGCACTGGGCTTCGCCGTCCCTTTGGGTTCCAAAAGAAACGGAGCCCAGAGGCTCAAACTGGCCACCAAAGTCACCCGTGTTCAGTGGTAGGTCAAAGGAACGGGCTACCCCCGCTTCCGACGTTGGCAATCCCCCGAAATCGCGAAAATAATGACACCAGCGGAAAGAAGACATTTTTTCCTGTACATCCTCCAATTCCATTGATCTGGTGTTCCCCAACATGACCTCACCCTTCCCCCAATGCCATTTTTCTTCGGGGCGAAAGCTGCCGTGCGCGTCGCATCTCGCCGAGCGGCGCGAAGCGGTGGTGAAACACCGGGCAGAAGATCCCCACCTCCGGATGCTCCCCCAGCCTCGGATCTGATTGACCCATTGACCCCAAAAAGATGGATCTCCCCGGTCGTTTCGTTGTTCTTTTTTCCTTTGGGGGGAAGGGGACCAAACAAAAGTTATTTTTGGAGGGATCCTTGTTTTTTGTTGGTGTCATTTGTTTTCGGGACATGCATGAGCCCCATCTTACAGTGATTTGCAGGGTAAGACCATCCTCAAGATTACCCGGTGTTCTCTTGGATTAAAGGGAGACCAGCCCCAAAGAACTACCCAAGTTTACCCAACATTGACAAAACATATCAAATTGAGGTGACATCCTCAAAATGACATAGCTGAATGGCGGTTAGAAACCCCAACTCCTTTCCCCGAAGTCACAGGAAACCACCTCCGGGTCTTGGGAAGGTGCAAAACCCCGGTACGCCTATCACCCCGGAACCCAGATTCCCTCTTATGGACCAAACAAAAGGGGTGTTACCAAACAGCGGTATCTGGATGCATCTGGGGCTTGACCCACACCCAAATCACAATAAATCAGAATGGGTTAGTTTTACGGACCCGAAATTGCGGACATCAGAACATGGGGTTTCATGTCCACCAACCACTTTAGTCTTAAAAATAGCTGTACAAACAATGGCCAAATCAACACGGATGTGTCGTTATTTGGGGAACCCGGTGGTTTTCAGGTTGGCTTCCTTTAACACCCAAAAGCAGGGCTACCCACCAAAAAAAGACAGACCCATATGGCCATGGGTCAAAATCCAAATCGTACCGTCAGTGAACATCCCAATCCAACCACTAACAAAATAGGTTCTAAATTGGGTGATGAGTTCACCTACCCCAAAATGGGTTCCCATTGGTTTTTTTACCCACAGCCATATCTGCCGGTCCCCTCCGAAAGGCGTTTTTGAAATCTGCTGGCCTCGCAGCTGCTCAATCGCTGGGCGCATGAAGCCGACAGACCGATCTCTCTGCACATCCAACGCGCTGTCCCACCAATCCTCGGTCCAACGGCTGAAGTGCAGCCCTGCAAAGTCCCTTCGCTAGTCTTCGTTTCTTTCTGGGAAACCTGTCAGGGAGGCCCAAATGGCCAGGGGTTCAACTATCATGCATATCCATACAATCAGCCTTTGAGTCGAGCAATTCGCGCGTGGACTGTACGTGGCGAGCGTGAGGCATGATCTTCGTTGAAGGGAAGCTGCCGCTTTGTTTCAAAACCTTCTTCACGCCAAGTTAGCAGGCAAAGGCAGGAGCATAGAACCACAAGGCGTCGATAATGCAAACAGGCCTTGACTTGCCTGAACTTCTTTTCTGATTCTGGGTACCCTTTTCCTTGCTAAGGGAACTCACTGGATCTACCTTGCAAGACGTAAAGAAACAAAACGGCAGCAGCTTTTATTGCCCATTTCCGGGCTCCACATATAAGATATGGGTTATACTTGGGGGACCCTTTGGCCATCACTTTGGCATGTACGTCCACTACCCACGGTTGAGGGGTTCAACTGACAATGGATCCCGGTGAGACTTCACTACTTGATGCCCCCTTGCTGAGTGGCCATTCTCTTTTTGTGGGCGGGGCTCAAACAAATGGATGTCCTTTGGGTCTCCCCTTGAACCCCAAAGGCGCCCGCAAAGGAATCCATACACGTCGAACAGCGGCGATCAGGACGATGCTGGCCACAAAGGGCCGCAGCTGAGGCCGCAAAGGCAAAGTCCTCGATGTCTCGAACTTCAAATTGACTTCGGGCTTCCCTTTAGGCCATAGGGAGACCTGGGAAAAGGGGTTCCCTTTAAAGCACGCTGCGAAAAGGATTTGTCTTAGGGTTTCTTTTTTCAAAGGTACCCTTGGATAGTTTCAGAAGGAAATCAAAAGGAAACCACTAAAATGTTGCCCTGGGCGAAACGCAAAGGCACAAACACACAACGTCGAAGGTGCTGAGAAAGGAAGCACGCAAAAGAAAGTTACCGGGGGGAGATCGGTTTTGGGTGGGCCGTCATTGCTTCCGGAAGAAATCTGTTCAGCTCACCAAAGCCACGTTCCATGGTCATGGTCCCTGGTGCCTCGCTACACGTCACCGAGAGCAATGGTCCAAGTCGCAACTGGTTTGGTTTGGCGGGATGGGTATGGCTCAACATGAAACCGCGGGCCTGCCGTGCTTTTTCCTGGTGCCCTTTTTGGGGTTGCTGTTCAAAGGGAAACCAAAGGAACACCAACAGTTTTACGGTCCACTGCTTTGAGCCAAAACCGTTTGGTGGAACACCAACAGCGCAAGGCCAAGGCCCTGGAAAAAAAATCGGACGCGTCCGGTGATGTCCCAACGAGCGATGCCCTAAACTCATTGACTGTTGGCTCTAAGATGGTTATCATTTGTATCAGCCTCTCGAGTCCTACTCAACCCAAAAACTGAACGACCGAAAAACATAATTTGGCCAATACGGGTTTTGGGCGCACAAATGAGGGGCACTATGGGCTCCTTCCATGAACGTGATGCCCTCGAAATTACCCTGGTGGATTAAAAGGAACCCACCTCTAATAGGGGTCCCACTTGATTTCCAAAACCACATCACCCCAAAAGGCAATGTTCGACAGTGGGTCTGCAAAGGTGATGTCTCAACCATCCAGAAGGGGGACATACAGCACGCTGGACTGGGCCCAGCCACAAATCGGGCAGCTCCTGCGGGCCGCACAAGTTCAGGGACTGCACCTGTGGTCCAAAGGCTTATCGGCAGAAAGAGAAACCAAACTTCTGTAAGCCTCACGCCAAAAGGAACCAGCCAGGCTACATGGCCTCAAGCCCCCAAAAGAAAACTCGACTCATTTAGACATGGAACATGTGAGGTGTTGAAGGGTGTTTGTAAGAATCTCTTTTGTGCAGTTTGTAGACGATTTGTTGGCGTTGATTTGACGAAAAGCCGACGGAAAGCCCGCGCTTCGTTCGGCCCACCGCCTCGGCAAGCGCAAGCAGCGCAATGGAAGGCCATGGCATTCCAAGAGCGACTGCGTCACTGACCCAACGAGTTTCGTTTGGCTTGGGGTAGGGGAGTAGTCGTCACCAATGATTTGCTTTGTAGTTGGAGAGTTGGGTTGGAGAGTAGTTAGCTTGGGAGGTAGCTGGGTTGGGGGTAGGGTTCGGGGCCACGGTTAGGGCATAGGTGGGTTTGCTCCCAATTCATCGAGCTCCTTCGCTTCTTCTTTCCGTGGCCAGAAGACTGATGAGTTCAACACGGTCGGTTCCAATCCGGCGACTCGAGAAGAGAAGGCCGCGTTTCTTTTGGTGGCTTCCCATTTTAACAACCCCAAAAAAGAGACACACCCATATGCCGCGCTAATGGCAGCATTTGGAATGGTGGGTGTCTCAAAATATCGAAAACAAGCCCCTTTATAGGGTGGTGTCCAAAGGTCAATCCCAAAAAGGGTGCTTTCATTTTCAAAGTGGGTGTGTGGTCGTGGGGTGTGTCGTGGGATGGGGCTATGCGGGAAGGCTTTGCAAAGTGTCCTGCACAGCTTGTAAGCCTAGGTTCTGCTCGCGAAAAGCTGCGGCAATCCTGCATTCATGCGCCTAAATCTCCCACCAAGCAACCACCACAAACACCAGCCGTGTTGGATCACATGCTTCCCACGTCCGTGACTAACAACTGCTGGCTGCAGCATTTGGGTATACGTAAAACAGAGCACCCCCGAAATGGCTTTCGGTTTTCCCGTCGCTTTCCCCCTCAACCAACCTGAATAAGATGCGCCTACTTCCAAAACCTCGCATGTAGGAGTCTATCAAAATTGCGGACCCCCGGTGGAAACCAACCCAACAGGAGTCTCACTTTCGAGTGATCGCCGCATCCCTCTTCCGCATCCGTGCATCCGCAACTCCCCAGGCCTGGGGGTTGCGGTGATCGGGCGCCGAGAAGACCGAGTGCACGTTGTTGGTGGTCTTGAAGCGCTCCGAGTCGTGCATGGAGTGGCTGCAGAGCGGCACCTCAAGATCGCCCCAAAGCCGCCGCTTAAAGCCACTAGGGACATCGATTCAGATGGCCGGCGTGGTCACAAGTCACCGGGGGCGCCCTGGTTGGGGCTCGGGGTAAAAAGCCAGAGTTGTGGGTGTGGCAGTCGGAATCAATTCGCTTATTTGAACCCCTGAGATCCATTCAACCCCTCTCTCACGGAAAATTCCCAACCTAGCCACCCCACAAAAAAGTGCGCTGCCACCGTTCTACCTCTGTTTCGATTGGACAAACACTAACAACAAGCAAGCCCATCACCTGCTTCACTCAAAATCGGGACCGATTCCTTCTGGTGGTTGGTGTCCAATTGGTTTCCCTCTCAAGTTGTTTTTTCCAAAAAGAGGATCCCTATTTTGAGAGCCAACCTGGTGGTTTACAGGCAAGCCACCCTACATTTGTGGTCGTCCACTTTGAGGAACCCGTAAAGAGAATCAAAATCCGCCAACCCCTCGCTCCTTTTCGGAGGGAACCAAGGGTCAGCCACCGCCCGTCCGATGAGGAGCCCTGTCTCTAACATGGATTCCACTGCCCCCAGAGAGCCTTAGTGGCTATGCGATTGTGCCATGTGAAACCCCTTGGTCCCGGTGGGTTGGAGGTAGTGGAAACCATCTTAGTGTGTCGTGAGCGGAACGCTTTGGGTTAGCGCCACACTGTTCAATAAAGGAACTCTCTGCTAGACTAACGACGACCAAAAGCCACAAAAACCCTCAACAAAAACGCCAAAAACACCAAGGACGACCAAGAGGAACGACTTCTACGACGTCAACCGCCCTAAGCTCGGCACGCTGGGCTCTGCCACATGCCGCGTGTCCGGGAAGATCTGGCAGCGAAATTCATCGGGCGAGGCGGGGGCTCCTGTTGGCATTTGGGGGGTTTGACGTGTCGAAGAAACGCAGCTCCAGGCGATTTGGGTGGCTCGTTGTTTGAGGCTCGGTGTCCCTTCTGGGTTGGTGACGAAAGAAAAACTAAGAGGAAAACCGAAACCATTTTGGTGGGTTCAAATGAGATTCTACGGGAAGCTAGCCAAAAACCTGGGCATTTGGGGGAATTGAGAATTTCCTGTTTCTTAGACACTGGTAATATTTTGGGGAGTCCCAGGAACGGATTGGGTGTCAACTAAAATTGGGGCGCCCTTTGCACGGGGAAGTGGAAGGGATTGTCTGTAGGGCTCCTGAAAGGAGGCAAGCTGGACAGGCCCTGACAAGACTGTCTGTAGAAAGTTGCATACTCAATCCGTGAAATGAACTTCTTGAAATAAACCCCTTTGGCGTTCAAACTTTTGTCAGCCCATAGGATTTGCACCGCTCAAACCATAATGGGGGATATCTGACAGTGCGCTTGGCATGTTCCCACTTGGCTTGCCTTCTTCCTAAGAAGATTTCCACTGCCCCCAACTACTACCTGCAGGAGAGCACGGTATACACTCGCTTCATATAAACAGCTTTGGGGGGTAGTGGACAGCCTTCATACGCTATCAACCCAACTAGGGCTCCGCGCTGTCATGCCGAAGCGTGTCTTGGGCAAAGCCGTGTACAGCTCCGACCTCGGCGTACAAACGATCCGAGCCTCAGTTGCCCAAAGGACCCAAAGGACCCAGAAATGAAAGGATAACCTTTCGGGGCCATGACGAACATGGACCCAAACCAATGGTCAAAATCTGCATCAAACCCTCTCTCTTACTTTCCGAACGCATCTTTCAGCCGCAATTGGATGGGACCCCCCATGATTTTGGGGCTGGAAGCTTATAATGGCACACCTGCTGGTTTCCCTTAAACCAACACCAAGAACGCTACCTTTTGCCTCAGAAACACATGCACTCGTGCTCTTGGGCCTGCCGCATGCCCCCCTTTCCGCGCGCACCGCTGAAACACGGAAGCAGCGCGGCAGCCAGCAAGCACCCGGAAAAGATCGCAGTGGAGTTGCGCCGTATATTTGTTGACGGCGCCTTTTTGACCTTTGTTTTACAGGAAGCCAGGAGGAAAACCGAAATCCGGTTTGGGGCTTCCTAAAGTATTGACAGTCACAACCGTTTCGGTGCCGAGCCCTTGCTGTCTGCGCCACTTTGTACATTCAGAATCCTGGGCGGGATCCTTCTTCGCTCACAGCTCTTCGCGATCTTGCATTGGATTCCCATCCACATGCAATCCTCCTGGCCGAGAGACAGTCCAAACAGCAAATGTTGGTTGAAGAACTGGACCATGCCTCAAGGGAAAGCAAAAGGAGGTTGAAACAATGGGTGGAAAAACATGTTGAAACAGGTGAATTGCCCAAGCCCAAGCAAAACAAAAAAAGAGGTTGATGATGTTCTCTACCGACCTCAAGAAAAGGGGGCTTTGATCACGGCACACGTGTGCCAATGGGATAAATGCGTCGAACGCCAATGGGAAGTCAAGTTGCACGTCTGACTCTCATGTGAGTTGCTCGGCCAAGCCAGGCCCGTCATGTTTTTGAGGCCGCATTGCACGCACGAGAATTGAGCATCTGTCAAACTAGGGGGACCCCAAAAATGTGGTTGTACCTGTCCTTCAAACCAAGCTGAAACGGACCCTTAAAAAACACACACACACACACACACACACACACACACACACACACACACACACACACACACACACACACGCCCACACGCCCACACGCCCACACGCCCACACCCAATGGGCTGCCCTTCACGCTTTTGAAGCATCAGTACTGGTCCATCTATGATCCCCGCTCCTGCAAGCCAAAGCGGCTTGAGGCTGCTGGGAACATGGTCCAATTGATTGTTGTCCAACAGCAGCTCCTGTCAGGCGGCTCACTTGAACTCGCCCTCTCGACCCCCATCTTGTGCCAGGTTGCCGTTCCATTGGTCAGACTCGAGATTGGGTCTTTGAGTTCAATGCTCCGGGAGTGAGGGAATGAACCCGGAGCCTCCCCAAGCAAACCACCAGGTGGATGGTTTTTGTCGGGGTTTCATTTCTCATTCCCTTCGCTCGCACCAGTGGCACAGGGCCGCCTTTGAACCGCACGCATTGAAACCCATGGGGCTGCCGCCTGGGTGGGGCAAAATATGGTTTAAACACCACCTTTACAAGGGAAGAATCAGCATAACCCGTGGTTTAAACATGTTTAAGCCAATGGGTGGCCCGCTGCCGCCTTGGGGCGCAACAGGCACTGAACAAAATCTGAGCCGAGCCGCGGCCAAGCGCAGCTGGCCCAGCTCAACCGGCAGAAGCGCCAACCTGGCAACTGGGTTGCTCCCGGAGCATCTCCCGGAGCAGAGGGGTCAAACCTTTGCTGGTTTAAGGCGTGTTCTTTTGTGAAAGAACAACCAGTTTTGGGAAAACGTTCAAACCAAAACAACTATGTGTTGGTGGAAAGGTCCTGGAGGGGCGATGCGGTCAACCAACGACCGGCCACAAGAGTCGCTCCAGTTCCCAGTCCCCCGATGCGAAGTTTGCGCCAATCGATTGCCTGTTGGAGACCAGATTCAGGCGCTGGAGCTTGCTCAGGCGCGTCAGGCCTTGCCGCGTGCGTCAGAAGCACCGGCTTCATTTCAGGGCAGTGTCCAACCCAAGAGGCAGGAAACACCAACCCACTCTGGCACCTAGCAGAAGGCCCCTTGCGGGTGACCCAAAAGAATCAAATGCCACCAGCCCTCTGCCAAGGTCCCTACAGTTTGCTATGCAGCCGGGCAGCTGGCAGGGATTTCTGACAGCTTGTTGTGCTGCAGCATCAGCTCCTCCGCATGTCTGGCCGAACCACGTGGGAGTGTTTCCTTTTGGCTCAGGGATTCCCCGTTTTTTGGGGCAAGGGGAAAACAAAAGCGGTTTTCCGAACCCATTTCGGTCCACAACTTTGAAGCACAGATCTGTCCAGGGGAAATCTGCGTTGTCAAAATAATTGCCCTTTTCAGGTTTTCAAAGGCGGCAGGGAGAAGGCCCCTCGAAAGATAGGCTCCTCCAATTGACGCATGTCCAGCACAGGCATCCTTAGTCAACCCTCCGTGGTGCAGGTGTTCATGCCCGAGTTTGGCCCAAGCACCTGACGAACCTCGTCCCCCATGTCCCGCACCCCAAAAGGCCCATAGACAAATCCGGAAATTTAGAATGAATATTTTACATTCAAGGCGTATATGAGTTTATCACTTTCTCCTTTTGCCACGTTCTCTTCTCATTCCGTGACTCACCCTGTTTTGCCGTATGAAAGCGACCGTAGACTGCAGCATTGTTTGGCCATATCACACACACATGGACCGAGTGGCGGGAAGTCGCTGAAATTGTTGCTGCCCAAGCCCAGCTTTCTGAGGCTTTGCATCTTGCCCAGCTGTTTGGGGAGATGCTGCAGCCTGGACGCATGTCCCAAAATGTCTAGCCCAAAAACATTCAAAACCATGCCCAAAAAAAACGACACATAGAAACCCTGATGATTTGTTCAGCACCTAGCTGGCATGCAACATCACTGCAAAGAAAAACGCACACCCAGGAAAAACCTGTTTCCAATTCTGATTCCGAGCTGACAGGTAAGCATGGGAAGATAGTGGTCCTTTCTGGTAAGGAGTAGTTACTATGCGTCCCTCTTGTTGTAGTTCCGCACGTTTGGTCCAAGCCTGGCTGGAAACCACTACGGTTTTCTGAGGCTCCCAACACATGCCGAGGCACTGTTTGTGGCTTTTCTCTTGCGGTTCGAGGGTATCTTCTAGGGGGGTTCTTTCTCACGGACCTCAAATAATCCCAAGGTTGGCGCCCAAGAGCCAACAAAAACCCTTCCGGTTGGATTTAAAGCTTCTCGAACCCATGGTGAATCATCTACATCTTACCCAGCAAGAGAAGAATTGCCTTGGGTAGTTTTGGCATCAGAGGTATCAGCTGCAATTGGTCCGATTGGTAGCATGGCCCATTGGTCTGGCTGGCCGGGATGGCCTTGGCCGGCATTGGTTGGCATTGGTTCACATGGCTGGCTGGCCATTTGGTCGGTCGGTCGGCTGCTTGGTTGCTTGGTTGGTTCAAGTAGTTTGTGCAATTAGTTATTCACCTAGTTGCTCAGTTGGTTTGTTAGTCAGACGGAATTCAGGTCCCAGTTCTCTCCGTCTTTGGTGTTGTTACCTGCTTTCGGCGCCTCTAGGAGGGTAACCGTAAGGCTCCTTGTAAACTGGGCTGTTTAAAACAAAGGGTTAGCCAATCCTAACCCAAAGTCCCTAGTTATAGGGAAGCCACTGCCACAGGGACCGGTTCCTTGCACAACCAAAGATGATTAAGGATTACTTTCGAACAACCCAATTAAAGACCCCATTCTGGGCTGCAGTTAAAGACCCCATTAGGGGCTCGGAAACCCGACAATGGCTGCCGCCTGTTCGCCCCGAGCAAGAGCTCCCGCAGCTTCAGATTGCCCAAGCACGCGGGCACCGAGGTGAAACCGTTCCCGTTCAGCTGCAAGGACCTCACGGGAAGAGAAGTTGCTTTTGCCTCTCAATTTTGTGCGGGACGCGTAGGCCAAATGTATATATATATATATGTATATATATATATGCACCTGCAAGTATGCGTGTGTATATACATATATATACGTTTATGTATTTATTTACATATTTATTTTGATATACACGTCGTACGTAGTTACACTTAAGGATGTGCATATACAGAATCATATGTACATATATGGCCACCCCCCCCCCATTCCCCACAATGAAATACATCCATGTGTGCACGTGACCCTTAGAGGTGTTGCATTTCCCATACCCAACATGGAGTTAAATAAAGTTCTGCTCGAGATTTTGATGCGTGCAGGTGACTAGGCGTTCAATGCTGTGCCTCTGGGATAACACAGGGCTATGTGCGATGCTTGTGATGCTGCTGCTGCTTCTGCTGTTGCTGCTGCTGCTTGGTTGGCTGGCTGGTTGGCTGGTTGGATGATTGCTTTGTTGGTTTGCTTTGGTTTGGTTTGGCTTGTTGTTGTTGTTTGTTTGTTAATTAGTTAGTTTGTTTGTTGTTCATTTGTTTGTTCATTTGATTGTTTCTTTGTTTGTCTGTGTGTTTGGTTGTGTGTTTGTTTGTTTGTGGATTGCTTGTTTGTTTGTTTGTTTGATTGTTTTTTTGTTTGTTTGTTTGTTTGTTAGCTTGTTGGTTTGTTTGTTTGTTTCTTTGCTTGTTTGTTTGTTTGTTTCTTTGCTTGTTTGTTTGTTTGTTTGTTTGGTTGGTTGGTCGGTTGGTTGTTTGTTTGTTTTTGTGCTTGTGTGTTTGGTTGTTTGGTTGGTTGTTTGTTTGTGGATTGCTTGTTTGTTTGTTTGTTTGTTTGGTTGGTTGGTCGGTTGGTTGTTTGTTTGTTTGTGTGCTTGTGTGTTTGGTTGTTTGGTTGGTTGTTTGTTTGTGGATTGCTTGTTTGTTTGTTTGTTTGTTTGCTTGCTTGCTTGCTTGCTTGCTCGCTTGATTGCTTGCTTGCTTGCTTGCTTGTTTGGTTGTTTGTTTGTTTGTTTGCTTGTTTGTTTGTTTGTTTGGGTGTTTGTTTGTTTGTTACTTTGTTTGTTTGGTTTCTGTTTGTTTGTTTGTTTGGTTGTTGGTTGGTTGGTTGGTTGGTTGGTTGGTTGGTTGGTTGGTTGGTTGGTTGGTTGGTTGGTTGGTTGGTTGGTTGGTTGGTTTGTGTGTGTGTTTGTTTGTTTGTTTGTTTGTTTGTTTGTTTGTTTGTTTGTATGTTTCTTTCTTTCTTTCTTTCTTTCTTTCTGTCTTTCTTTCCTTCTTTCTTTCTTTCGTTCTTTGTTTCTTTGTTTGTTTGATTGTTTGTTCGTTCGTTCGTTCGTTCGTTCGTTCGTTCGTTCGTTCGTTCGTTTGTTTGTTTGTTTGTTTGTTTGTTTGTTTGTTTGCTTGCTTGCTTGCTTGCTTGCTTGCTTGCTTGCTTGCTTGCTTGCTTGCTTGCTTGCTTGCTTGCTTGCTTGCTTGCTTGCTTGCTTGCTTGGTTGGGTGTCTTTTTGCATTTTTTTGTCGTTTGTTTGTTTGTTTGCTTGTTGTGCGAAACGGGTAATTGTCCGCCTTGAGTTTACCAGGCAAAAATATTGAGCCCTTTGTCCTTGCATGCAGCCAAAGGCGGAAACCAAGCAAAAACAAGTGTAAACAGCTAGAGGGTAACAAACACGGACACGAACAATCAAACAAAGAAAGAAAGAAACAAACAACAAAAGAAGATTGTGGTTTGGTCTTTATGGTTTTCCCCGCTTTTCTTCCCAAAGCACCTCTGATGCGACGGGTTCTCGTTTCGTCGGAGCCTTCCGCGACGGGAGCGCCGTCGGGATTTGGTCTCGAACGCTCCCATCCCGGAATCACAATCGCACAGGAGCGCGCAAAGCTCTGTCAGAGACCCCGTCCGCCCAGGAACGCTCCGGGGCGGCAGCGCAATCCCACCAGCGCCGTCACATCGGCGCAACGCTCGGAGGCTCGGAATTCAAGTTGGCGCGCTGCCCGCTTTCCGATATGGGAGCGTCGAGCGTTACACGAGGCCGTGCCGTTGGGATGGGAGCGTTCGTGGTTGGCTGGTGATCCATCTTCTGCAACAAGGTTTGGCAATGGGCGCAGGCCTTTGTCATGGTTATGTGCGCTACTTGGAGTTCCCCTTCAAACCATCCAAAAATATATTTTGAGAAGCTCTCACACATTATAAAACTTCGGCAAGTGTTCGGCGCAGCTTTTCTCAGGGAGCCCTCTGTTTTCGAACGCCCACTTTTCGGGCCCATCATTAGGGGGCACTCTGTGGACTTGCCTTTGGGTTCCCAGGCTCACCTGGTTTGCGGTGTCCTCGAGTTTGTTGCTTGAGCTTGCCCAAGTAAAACAAGAAACAAAAAAACTCAAGGGTCTTGTTCACGGGAAAACCAGAAAAGCCGCGAGAGGGAAAACCCGAGGTATTCGTGTGTATGTGTATGTGTGTGTGTGTATGTGTATGTGTATATGTATGTGTATATGTATATGTATATGCATATAAACTCTGTTCATGGTATCTGGGGCTTTGGTTTTCTGAAACTGGGGCTTATGTTTTGGGCTTGTACAGAGGCGCGCCACAACACGCGTTCGCGCAAGGCTGCAGCAGGCACTGCTTGCCAGCAAGAGATGCTGAGCAAACCTTGGCTTCTCACTTACGTCGTAACATCTCAGATCGCAGCATCGCGCGCAGGTCACATGCCCCATAGGCGGTACTCTCAAGCTTGCAGCTTGGCCCTGGAGTTTGCTTGCCATTTTGTTGCAAGTTTGGACCCCTAAGTTCTCGATTAAATGCACGGATGCCCACATCAGTCAACCCTGGAAGCCATCTTGAGGGGTGGGGTCAGGTCCTTGGCCACTGAATTCCTAAAAGCAGCTTGTTTATTTGTAGGCTGCCCAGGGCACGTTGCGAAATAGACCCTCACTCACACCTGAGCAAAGCACTAATTCCAAAACACATATGCCACTGCCCATGCCTTTAAGCACCCAAATGAAAGTAACAAAGACCAAGGACCGTAACAGCAGCATGTTGATGAGGCCTTGTGCATGGTGTGCCCGCAGCCCTGGGCCCGCCATCCTGCGAAAGTGCTCTAATCTGTTTTGGATGTGGCTCAATCATTTTCCACTGTTTCTGGCATATCCTCAACTCAAGCCCCACCAAAACCAATTGGTGTGGTTTCTTCAAGTCCGAAGCTTTGGTAACCATCCACACTACCCTTTATCCACTTCCGTCGTCTCAGGACACTAAGGTGCTTCACACTTCGCACAGGCTTGGCCTGCCTTTGGGACAACTGGTTTTTAAGAATTCAGCCCCAAGATGATGCCCCAAGATGATGCCCAAAGAAAACATGGTCCTTGGTCCTTGGTGTTTTTGCGTGGGTCCAACCGTTTGGGGCTGTGGGCCACGCCCGCCAGTAGGACCCTGCAGCCAGCGCAGAGTGCCGCAGCGGCATCGCCAAGCTCACCTTCTGCACTTACCAAGACCATTTCTAGATCCCAAAAAGCACTAAGGGTTCCGAATAAATGAATAAAGACAAGCATTATACATCTTTTGGGGGATGTTGGGGGCCCCTTAAAGTTCAACTGTTTTGTTTTGTCTCTCAGGGAATGATATTGGAATGATATTGGCAGCCTTGGTCTTTACCAAACCCCAAACAGTGTCTGCCCAACGCCTACTACAGGACAACTCACCCCATTCGCAACAAATACCAGAAACAGCTGTAAATATTTGAGAAAGTCTTGCGAAAAGTGTTCCGGAAACAGTTCCTTGAAAAAGGCCGTTCCACAAACCACCCTTCATGGAACCCAGGTTTCGCGAGACACAGGTTTTGGAACATATGGGAGCTGCAAAATGTGATTAATTGAATTTGCTCTGCTACATTTTGCGTCTGTTATTGTGAGCTTCCTGTTGCCCATCAAAAAAGCTGTCAAACTTATGTATTCCCTGGCCAGGATAGCACGCACACTTTTGCCACATCTCCCCTTAGTATCACCCTATCGGCGCGTCCGTACTTGCATGTGCCACGATGTCTCTGGCAAGTGGCTGAGAAACGGGTTGCTATCTGGGCTGTCCAACGGCTGCCTCTCAGCAACTGGATTTGAAAGCCAATCTGGGCGCTGCTCAACAACTGGCTGCTGGCCACACTGCTGGACCAAGGACCGAAGACCAGCAGCAGCTTTGTGGTAGCCATACAGCGGGCTCTCAATGGAAGTCGCACAGGCAAGAAAACGCTCCTTCTCACTGTCCTTCATGGAAGGTCCCACGCAGGAAACGACCTCGTCCTGCGAAGAAACCGAGAACAAACGTGCGTACAGCCGCGGAACTGCACTGAATCGACACCTCGATATGCGGAGCGAGTTTGCTAGCTGCGTTTCTGCAAGGCTTGCAGTTTTTGCAATGCAGAAAACGCAGCTACGATGCAAATTGCAAGCATATCGAGGTGTCGATTCAGTGCAGTTCCGCGGCTGTGTGCCGCACGTTTGTTCTTGGTTTCTTCGCAGGACGAGGTCGTTTCCTGGAGACACCGTGTGCACCGAATCCACCCTGTCTGCAGAAAGCACACAAATAGCTGGCTGTTGCAGCTGTTTGTCCCGCATGTAGGCCTTGACGCAGCACATCACATCCTTGCCAGAAGCTTCAAAAGCACGACCGAACCAGCGATGCCGCTCTGCCGACTGCTGTTCCTCACTGGAAAGATCCATGTACAGCTTGTAAGAAAAGCTGTGCGGCGCCTCCATTCCATCTCGAGTTTGCCAACATCCATGCTGAGTGATGCGCAGTGGGGCTAACCATTCTGTGAACTTCCTGACTGCTGTCATTGCTCGCACAAGGAATGTCTCACCACGGGGCGTGAAATTTCCACACACTGCTGGAGATCCTGCGCAGCGGTACCGCCGGATAACTTGGGACACCAGCAGCGAAAAAGCTTGATCTATGTCCTCATGTGTGTGCCCGTCCGTCACTGTCTGGAAGAGCCG